TGTTTTTTTATTCTAATATTACTGATTATTTTATAAATAAATATATATAGATCAAATGTATATATTTTTAAAAATAATCTTCTCATCAACATTAAATGAGAATATTTTCTTATTAGTTTTTTTTTATACAAGTCTATACATTAATTGTAAATTTAGTTTTTGAATACATTTTTATGAAAAATACATTTTTAATGTATATATTCTTTTAATTCTTGATTAATATTTTAGTTTAAATTATTATAAATTTTTATTTAAAAATCAATCCATAAAGAAGAATAAATTATGTTTTTTTTTTAAGTATAAAATACATGAAAAACATAAAAAGAAATTAACTAAAAATTTTAATAAAAAAATTATAAAATTTTAAATGATTTTGTTCTATCTGATTTGCAGCATATGCCGTTGCGTGGGTAACAAACTGGTGAAAAATTATTTTGTAGAGTTAAACAGCTCTTATCCTTTATTTATTTATTATTGTATCCTATGGAGGCAAATGTTTTTTGCACCTTCTGGAATCATTCCTAAATAGTACCCAAAAAAAAAAAAAAAAAAAAACAAGGGCCTGAAATCATGGGCTTATCCCATTACTTGTATTTGTTTTTTATTTTTAGGTAGGAGATGATATTATTATTATTATTATTATTATTATTGTCACGAATCATAATTATTATCAATAATAGTCACACTATGTCAACTCAAATGAACTAATACACTATGCCAATGAATTACTATACCGTAGTTCCGTATGCACTCATATTAGAAATTCGAATGTTAATGAAAAGTATACTATTTTTAAACTTGATTAGAAAAAAATTTAAATTTTTTTCACTTAAATAACATAAATAAAAATAAAAATAAAAATATTCAAATATAAAAAATAAAACAATTCACACATCAAATATATAATCTCGTTTACAATTTGAGAAGTGAATTATGTATGTCTTTGTAATTTAAGGTTCTCACCTTGTTTAGTTGGACAAAAACAGAACTGAATTTGGTTTTGAGAGGTCAAAAATTAAAAAACTTGACTTTCTAGCAAACTCGACTTTGCCAAAAAAATAAACCAGTCAATTTTTTTTATGCCCATGCCCAGGAGCGTGGGCCTTATCCTTTTTTTCTTTTCTCTAATTTTTTTTATCAAAAATTATAGAAAATCTAACGTTATTATTTGTATTTTTTATGCAACTTAGCGAAGATAAAATATATATACTAATTTTTCATATTTTAAAGTTAACATATATTTCACATTGTATTACTCTTACTATTTAAAATTTATTCTTTGTTTTTTTAATGAAAATTCTCACTCAATTAATATTTTTTTATATAAAATTTATTTATTGATAAATATGATTAATTTTTCTCTAAATTTGAATTTTGAAATAAAATTTTAAACTATGATTTTTTTTCTTTTTAAATAAATTAATATATATATATATATATATATATATATATATATATATATATATATATATATATATATATATTATGAATTCTTAGAATTTTTAAATTATAGTTGCACATATATAAATACATAATTATTTTAATCTAAAAAGTTAAAGGTGTATTTCAGATAATTTATCTTAATCCACTAGATATGATTAAAGATGTACAAAAAAACTATGAAATCATCAGTTTTATTAAAAATTAATTATATATCTTTACACATAACACTAACTATTTATTATGGACTTTTTTTTTAACATTATAGAACTAATTTTTTTGAAATAAAGTAATTAAAAAAATTAAAAGCTAATATTATTGATTATTTTATAAATAAATATATATAGATCAAATTTATATATTTTTAAAAATAATCTTCTCATCGATATTAAATAAGAATATTTTTTTATTAGTTAGTTTTTTATATAATTTTATACATTAATTTTAACTTTATTTTTTATATACATTTTTCTGAAAAAATATATTTTTAAAGTATACATTCTTTTAATTCTTAATTAATATTTTAGTTTAAATTATTACAAATTTTTATTTAAAAATTAATTCATAAAAAAATAAATTATATTTTTTTAGTAGAAAAGACACGAAAAACATAAAAGGAAATTAACTAAAAAAATTTAATAAAAAAATTATAAAATTTTAAATAATTTTGTTCTATCAAATATGCAAGGGGAGGCCATTTCGTGGGTAAATCATTCTGTAAAGTTAAAGAGCTCCTATCCTTTATTTATTTATTTATTATTGTATCCTATGGAGGGAAGTTTTTCTTGCACCTTCTAGAATCATTCCTGAATAGTAAAAAAGGAACAAAAAGTGCCTGACATCATGGGTGTATCCCATTACTTGTATTTGTTTTTTATTTTTATGCAGGACATGATATTATTATTATTATTATTATCACAAATCATAATCATCATCAATAATAGTCACACCATGTCAACTCAAATGAACTAATTACGCTATGTCAATGAATTGGTATTTCAATTAATAGTCATGTATCTTTTTAAAGGTCTCTAACCCCTCCTTTTTTTTTAATAAAACAAATAAACAAATTACTATACCGTAATGCCTTATGCACTCATAGTAGAAATTCGTATGTTAATGAAAAGTATACTAATTTAAAATTTGAGAAGTGAATTCTGTTTGTCTTTGTAATTTAAGGCTTGTCACCTTGTTTAGTTGGTACCCTTACCATTAGAAATATCTTTCCTTTCCAGAATGCGTGCTTCCTTGAAGAATGGAGAACACTTATGATTCTGTCACGTGACAGTACTAAAACAAAATATTTGTGTTTTTTTTTTTTTTTTGGTCAAATCAGTCATGTATCATATACATGTACAGGCAAGGAAAATTTGTTGTAATTTTTTCTTATGTGCAAGGAAATTTTTGTTTTATTTGTTTTTTAAAGTGGTTTCTTGAATTTCTACCAAACAAAAAAAGGAGCTTCCGTTGAAAAAAAAATTAATAAAAATAAAAAAGTCAAAAGGGGTACGAAAATTCACTTCAAGCTTGGCCTAAAACGACAAGCTCCCGTTGCCCGGGATAAAACGACGAAATTACACAACCGTTGTCTTGTTGAATTTATACTACAGGCTACAGCCCCCTAAGCCACAAAAATATGAGACGACGATGTTATCGTGGCAAAGCTAATCCTAGATAAAACAAGATTTTTTAAAATTGCCTTGTTAGATCTCAATTTTTGGAGTTTTCTTTACCGAGGTATGTTAACTTTACGCATATCTCACCAAATCCTACATATGGCTTGCCATGAGTTGCCAACAACTGGGCTGCTAGGGCTCGCAACCCAGGAGGTGAAATGACTATTATAGAATTCAACATAGGGCATCCACACATTGACCTCCCGAAAAACCAATGTACAAACTGATGATAACAGTTGCAGCTGCCAATGAGATGTGTTTCGAGGTCAGTTTTTTGATGCTACAAAGATTGAAAAATTGAAACCCATGTTGGCAATCGAAGTTCAAAATTCCTCCCAGGTCGTAGTAGTAGTTGCTCTAATATATAAACGCACCATCTCTGCAGCTAGGTCGAGCTCAAGTTCCTTGAATCCAGCAGCTCTCCATCAAGAGTTGGGGGATTTCCACCATTGCTATTGGGCCTGTACTTACCCCAGAGGAAAGCAATGTAGAACTGAAATTTTTTATCCTGCTTTAGCAACCAAGGACAGGGAAGACAGCAGAAAGTTCTTCTATAAACGAAAACTAGTAACACACGCGTCATTTGGCTACTTGTTAAATTAATTTATAATGGGATGGCAGCAAATTTAAGCTAATTCACTAATTTACAATTTGTTTGATTCCAGTAAGCTTGGATTGCTAAATTTCAAATAATTGATTCGCCTGGATATCTGAATCAATAGCATACAAATAGAACTTGATCACTCCAAAAAACTCTTTCCATTTCCCACTGCCATGCTAGAAGTCATGTAGTAACCGTAGTATACAACAACAATTGATACTAAACAAAATTATCTGAACTTGGCACCTGTATCTTCAGAGGTTGACTGAATTCAACCCTTTCTTAGATGTGCAATCCTGCTTAATCATAGAAATTGGGGATGCTAATGCATGTAAAAGAATCTATGCACCTTAGAGAATAGCCGGTGAGATTGCAAGTCCACCTGCACATAGGAGCTGAGAGTCTCAGACAAACATTTAATGGAATGATTTTTTTGAGTATCCAAAAAATAATGTGCTGCTACTGTTTCAACAAAAAACAAGCTTTGATCCAACCATAGAACATAATAGACAAGGGCCACAAAGTTAGCTGACAGGATACAGCAAAACCATTCATGGTCACCTGGGAGGATATCATAACAAAGTTGTTTCTATATATCAACATGCTTGATTACTAAACCATGCAACACTTGAATTGTTTTGACAACTTGGCTAGCCCAAGCATGCACTCACTAAGCATGTTTTATGGGGGAAGACAGTAAACCCAAATTCCAGGTTGATCCAGCATCTGGCAAGCATGGAGGATTCAAGCGTAGTGGAGGCCTGCTGATAATTTTTCAGTGACAACTTGGTTCAGGAAAAATTGCAAGGTATTATGAATCCATGCTACTTACAAAAACAAGGAATAAGAGTTTACAAAAAGGGCCGAAAAAAAAAAACCTTGGAAAACACAGTAGGTTCAAATCAGAATTTCCTACCTGCTCCTACAGAGCATATGATAAATTACACACACAGGTATAGTTTTATTTTTCCCCTGCGAATTTTGCAGCTTGTTCTCCATGGCAAGAGGCAACTGCATCTTGCCTACCAGACAAGCCTATGTAACTGACCAAAAAGGAAAAGCGATTGGAATGGAAGGGAGAAGAAAATGTCTTCTGTGAGTAAATGAGAATGGACCCTGTACATCTTCGCATGTCTTTATGCATTTCATGAAACTCTACCCCCCAAAGAGATGGCCCAAAGAAAGGAAGAAAGAAAGAGAATTGGAAGTAACTGCATACAAACCATGCAGAAAGAAAAGAAAAAGAAAAAAGCCCACCTATTTAGTATCTAAGCCATCTGTTTTCAAAGGAAATGGCTGGCCATCAGAAGTTGTGGCTTCTCCTCATCTTCTTCAATCTCCATTGAAGCTTCAGATTTTATTTCCTGAACCCTTTGATCCCAGATACCATCTATTAGCTTCCAAGTTTCATCACTGACAACTTGTGTCTGTTCATGAAAGCATTTGAAAAAGAAAAGGTCAGAATTACTAATATGAATGAATTAATGCTGACTAGTGGAATACGTGCTATTTCATTACCTCCATAGGGCGGGGTGCACCAAAGGTTGCAAACCCAACATTTCCAGGTGCAAAAGTAACCCTCCCAGGAACGGTAATCCCATGGATCCCCCACCGTCCAGCATAAATTAGGGCTCCATATTCATCGACGGGCCTTACAGCTGGCTGATAATGTGTAACGGAATACAGATATTAAAATGATTGAATCATCATAGATATCTCAATCATACACACTTCATTATTTAATCATCTAAAAACCATGGTATGATAAGTTAACCAAACAAGCAGCAGAGCAAAGAAGAAGAGGGACCTGCAATGAACCTTGATGCTTTATGCAACTTTTCCTTCACTGCTCTATGCCTTTTCGTTTATGGGTTTTCCTTTATCTAAAACACACTTATAACCACTTTATGTTTGTTCCAACTTATTAACTTTGATTATTGCACTATATTTGGCTTTATCCCATTTAAGATGTCTACAAAAAGGTGCAAGACATGCATCACAATTTAGTTCCTGCAAGCACTTCACCAATCAAATATTGTATGACATGCCAAAACAAGCAAAAGTCTAGCTTTCATAGCTGGTGATAGCATGAGTAGATAAATATTCCAAACATTCTTGTTTCCCTATTTTAAGCGGCACAAGAGAACAACCAGCAAATTTCTGCAGCAACAGACTAAAAGTAAATCAATAAATTAAATCAAGATAGTAACAGGCCACATAATACTCTTTAAGAAAATTCAACAAAAAATTGTAAACCAAACTCTAAACACAATTTTTATACTAAGCAAATTGAAATAATCATATCCAATGTTAAGCACAAGACTTACTTGTGGTATCCGAGGACCTTTTTTGTATATGTCCCAGATTTCAGCAGCGTCTATTTGTCCCTTATCAAGTAAAATGTCTGCACAAATGAAAGCATGCGGCCAACAAATATTAAGCATTTCACATATAAAACTGCCTTGAACGACCAAGTTTCAACAAATAACATCATAGTAGTAATAATAATAATAATAAATGTCACCTGTAATTGTTTCTACAGCTGAATGGCATTCTCTCAAAACAGATGTACATTTTTCCACAGCATATCGCATGTATTCATCTCGGAGAGCTTCAAGTTTAGCTGCGAGCTGTTATGCACATTTAAAAGAAAAGGCTGTTATGAACACTTAAAAGAAAAAAAAATATCAATGCGTTCAGAAAAGCTGTTCCAAAAATATAAACAAAGCTCTAACAGATTTAGCAATTGGTTCATAGAAATATACATTGGGTACAAGATCACTATGTTTCCTGTAAAATGCTTTCCCAAATGCTGTCATCCCAGTTTGCAGGATCAAAAATTCTGCAAGCCGCGAAGCTTCTAAAGTAGCCTTTGCAGAGATCCAACACATATTGTCTACCTCGAACATCTCCTCCTCAATCACCCTAGCTACACATCAGAGTACCAGTAAAACACCTTAAATTCATTAAAAAAAGAACAGAGAAAGAAAGAAAAGGAAAGAAAAAACAACAATAAAGCCTTTAATATATTCATGACTATCATTCAGTAACGAGATCTGATTCAGAAACAGCGACTGCCAAACAGGAGTTAAAGCATTACTTAAAATCAAAGCCACAGTCAAAAGGTGCCTCAAAGATGAAGTATGCAGGAGATTCTTTGTATTAGTTTTATGTATTAAAATATTTCCCAAATAACTCTCCACATCCCAGTTACTTAGGTGTTTTGCCTTTTGTTATGATGTTTGGCCAGTTTACTGTATCCAGTGAAATTAAGTAATACTGTTATATTAAATAATTGTTGAAGAAAGTTCTTGGAAGCAAGCAAATCATTGGGTCAGTATTTTTCCAGATGATATACTCCCCAAAACTCAAACCACAACAGATTTTTTTTTTTTTAAAGGAATTTTTTGGATTTAATTTCTCATAGCCCAATAATAACCAAAATTTGAACCATGAGTTGAATTTGAAAGCAAAAACACACAGGTGCAATAATAAGCTTAAGGAACTTGTGCTTTCACAGAATGCTTGATCTAAATATATTAGGTTAGTGAATGAGAAAAAATTCATTTAACTGACATCTTGCAGAACAGATTTCCTATTATAAAATGATATAGAAAAGGACACAAAAAACATACCTAAAAGCACACAGCACCAAATCCATAAAACATACTACATTCAGCTATCTATCCAAATTCAACAAAGCAAAAAAACAAATGCTAGCCATTAATGTAAGTAATAATGATGTTTTAAAATAAGAGCAAGATTCATGTAACCTACGAGCACAGGCACGCACTATAGAGTTCACATAATCCGATTTCCTTGCAAACACCCTGCCTGCAGTTTCTGCATAACGCATGTTTGGCTGGCTAGTGATAGAGTTGATATCAGTCTGCAGATGATATATTCAAACATGTAATTGACATATATCTCAACACTTGATCACAAAAATAGGACAGCAGAGCACATCCTTCAATTACCTCGGTGAAAGGGCGGAAGGGATCTGGAAAGTAGCATGCAAGAATAGCAACAGCTGCTTCTCTATATGCCAATCTTAACTTCAATTCCTCAGGAATTTCAGTGCTATCTTCTTGTCCTGTTTCAAATGTGCCTTTTTGCTGCACCATGACATAGTAAATGCATTAAGAAAAATGAGAATGTGGCAAGAGAAATTAACATGCTTTTCACATTTCTTTCAAAGAGACAGAAAAAGAGCAGTCCCAACCCTCTTCAAGGCCTCTAAAAGTTCTTCTCGTCCAATATAGTCTAAATCCTTCCTGGCAGTCAAAATTCCAGCTTCATTCCTGTAATCCAGATTAGGAAAACATTAGCCTCTGTCTTTCCTGATATTAAATCAGAAGGAGAACTGTGCATCAGGCATTATGTACAGTATGTTCTGCAGCTCCGCCCCTGTAAAATCATCTGTAAGCTCAGAAATTTCCTGCAGTAGAGCATCCTTTTCTTCCTCTGACCGAAAAAATTTATTTCTAGCATGCACCTGCAAAAGTTAAATCTCAGTGAAGATGTCAACATGAATTTTAGAGATCTCGAATTCTTTAGCGCCAGTCAAATTAAAAATAATACCTTCAATATTGCCAATCTGCCATCTTTAGATGGCAGACCAACTCTTACAATCTTGTCAAAACGACCTTTTCTCAAGAGAGCGGGATCAAGAATATCAAGTCTATTTGTTGCACCTATAACCAGCACCTGACAAACCCAAGTTTAGTAGTTGATCAAACAATTTAATGTCTTCATCCCAATAAATAATACAAGCACACCTGTGATGTAAATTCCTTAAATCCATCCATCTCGGTCAGTATCTGAAGCAGACCTTGCTCTCTCTCTGCACCACCCTATAAAAACAATCGCATGGATGCACTGAATTCAGGGGAGAGGGAGAAAAAAAGAGAGAAGAGAATTATGTTCCCATTGTATGCAGAAGTCACTGATCTATCAACAAAGGCTTACAAAAAGACAAGTTCCACATACCACAATAAATAAGTAAATAAAACAAATACACTGAATATTTGCAGTTTCTTTTGTTTTTTATTTTTTTGGTAATTTATTGGTCTTGTGGCATGAAGGTTGAGAGACTAATTTGATTCACTAAACTCTTCATAGATGAGTTTCTGCTATTTGAATTTTATTGCATGTTCTAAATAAAGTCATTATCACTTTAAAAACTATATGGACGCTCCTTAATTCCCTTGCAGTTGTGTAATTGCTACTGAAGCTACTGTAGGTTTTTGTTCGTATCGTTTCATTGGTGCAACTTAATGAATGCAAGCAATAGCTCATACTAACTTACACCGCCAATATCAGGTCCACCACGCTTGCTACCAATGGCATCAATTTCATCAATAAAAATGATGGAAGGAGCGAATGATCTGGCACTAGCAAAAAGATCCTTGACACGAGATGCTGCAACACCTACAAACATCTAGAAATCAACTTCATTAGTTAGACAATTTTCTTTCAGTTTGAAGAGTCCAAAATGACTAAATAGGGAAAATGTTAGCTATTTAGTAAGAAAGTGAAAGTCAAGGATAATTGCTGAGCAATGCCAAACAAAATTGCCAACCGATTGTTAGAGAAAAAGTACAAAGGAGTACAATGCAATTTATCAAACTTGTGAACTAGTTACATAAAAAAAGGTGGTGCTTCATGAAAAAGATAATTCGCAATTAAGGAAGCAACGCAGTTTATCCTATCAGTGGAGGCTGATAAGAGACAATGAACAAAACTATCAATACAAAAGAAATGGTCATTCCTTTAAGACGTAAAGTATGTTCACACCTCTACAAAATCTGTGCCATTTGCAGCGAAGAAAGGTAGTCCTGCTTCACCAGCAATAGCTTTAGCTAGCAGCGTTTTACCAGTTCCTGGGGGCCCATGGAGAAGGACACCTTTAGGGCAATAAATACCCTTATCTTGAAACTCTTCATCGTTCTTCAAAATTCGTACAATCTCTTGCAATTCCCTCTTTATATATTCCTGGCCAGCAAAATCATTGAAAGTAACACCAGTAGTTTCTTCTGCTGATATAAACTTTGCCCTGGTGGAAAGGATATGAAAAATTAGACTCCAAGTGCATCATTGTGACAAAAAACTCAACGTGCCAATATAAACCATCTAAAGTTGCCATGATTCAATTGCAAAACTGTCACGACATTACGACACATGATAGGAACCAGTAAATAAATCCCTACAGTCAGAACCAACAATATTTGAAAAATTAACACAGAAAACCATGGAGAATACCCACAAGAATAACTTTTAAGGGAACTTCGAAGATATAATCAAATTTGAATTAATTTCTACCAGAATAATGATTCTTTTGAAAAAAATTGCTAAAAGAGATTCCTAGATAAGACATGCAAGCCAATGGATCAAATAGTAGATAGAAATGGTCACTGGACAGCAGTCCATCAGTTAACTTTAGTATTGCCAAACTTCTGAAATGGCAATAGATAATAGTTAACAATTGTATCAGGACACCAACTCTCCCTAATATTATTGACTTGATTACAAAAACCATTTTGAACAGAACTTCTATGCTCTGGCAATAATCCACTTACCTACTCTTGCCTAATGACCCAAGTGCACGACGTTTCAGTGGCTGCCTAACTGTTTCGGTTGGCGTTCCCAAATCACAAGGAATTAATTTTGCATAAATTGGTCTCATAGCATTATCAAGCCAGAGATATAATGCCACCGATAGAGCAAGTCGCATTGCCCATATGACAGCAGTTGCAACAGTTGAGTAGACTTCTGCAGGTACCGCATCCACATTATGGACGTCAACATTGACTATTTGCTGGTGCAACTTTTGCCAAACATCATTCCAACAATCAATAGGCATACGGTCAACCACATGGCGTCTGAAAATTATTTCCTTGTTTGAATTTCCCTCTGATCCTTCCTTTTTGGCATCTTTGTAGTATGGCAGAACCACTGTTCAAATGGGCAATAGATTTTCAGCAGAAAATTTCAATAGAAAACACAATGAGTAAGTTTTAGGACCTCTTTCAGAATATACATCCATCAAACAAAAGCCAAACTATGCCTTTTTAGGTCAAGGCTTAAATAACAATAAACAAACCATTTCAAAAGACCAGAGATCCACTTGCGTGATGCATCTGAACTTCAGCAACAACACAGACCACAAAATGAGAAACAACTTGAAATGGGATGCACATGTGTGCATATAGAATAAGCAAATGGAACATTATTGCCTAAGTCCAAGGACCCAAAAAAAAAAAAAAAAAAAGAGAAGAGGCTGCATTAAATACAGAAACAAGCCCTGGAAGTGCAAATACAGAAAACAAGCATCAACTATTCATTAACCCAAAAAGAAGTTAAAAGAACTAAAACCCAGAATACAAAACAGCGGTTAAGAGTAAAAAGAACAGCAACTTTCCAACCTGAAACATTCTGGCCATAATTCGCATACTCCATAAACTGAACATTATTAGAGTTAACAAGTCCCCAAAAATCACTAAAATCAATCCTATGAGAATTCTCAGGATCCCATTCCGTTCCTTTCAACTTCCCTCGCATCGTCAACAATGCCCTGCTCCAATCCGAAGCCATCACTAGATTCCTCTCTAATTGTACATCCGCCTTCCTCCTCAATTCTTCCAATTTATTAATTCTTTCTCTCTCTGCTTCTTTCAGTTTCTAAACCAAAAAAAAATTAAAATCTTGTGTTAACAATCCACAACAAATCACAGAACTTCAAAAGACAATTACTTCTATTTTCTTTCTTCACTTTCTCAGACACCAAAGGGAGCTTCTTTTGTGTGTGTGTGTGTGTGTGTGTGTGTGTGTGTGTGTGTGTGTGTGTAGGGTTTAGGGTGTATGGTGTAGGGTATAGGGTGTAGGGTTTAGAAAAAGAAGAAGCTTGATTAAATAAAAATAGAATATCTTCAATTTTAGGATAATTAACAAGCAATTCAGGATTGATTTAAGGATAAATAACTAGTAATTCAGGATTGTATTAGCTACAATTTCTTAATCACTTTCTCGGTAACCAACAAAACTTAATTTTGTGTAAAATAAACTAAATCCACTACATTTAACATTAAATAAAAGAAAAACTGAAATTTTCACTTTCCTACCAAATGAAAAACTGCATAATCTTCAAAAAAAAAAAAAAAAAAGAAAAAGAAAAAAGAAAAAAGAAAAATTACTTCATTTTTTTTCTTTTGCAATACTTTCTCAGTAACCAAACAGAATCCCACTTATTTTAAATAAAAAAGAAAATACTAAAAAATAAAAAGAGAAAAAAGAATAAAAACCTCGAACAAGCGAGTGGAATCAGAGTCTTCTTCAGCTACTTGCACTGAGTTAGAGGAAGTGGTAACCGAGTTAGAAGAACTCGAAGAAGGAGCAGCAAATGCAGTGAATTTAAGTAAGTTTTGATTCCTGAAGAGAAGTAATTGCAGATTTCCGAAGCTTAATTTGGTTTTGAAAACAATTTTATGAAAACATTGTCGGGATGGAATTATTAGAGGTGGCGGTGGGGAATTTGGGATTTGAAGGATTGAATTCGAAATGAGGGATTTCATTTCTGTAGTAGTAGTATTTGCTTTACTTTCATGAAGAGGAAAGGAAAGGGAAAGAGAGTAGAAGAACTGGAAAATGAAGAAGGAATTTGATTCCTCTCTCTGCGTCTCTCTAAAATTTCTGTACTGTTTCTGTGAGGGAAATTTTTGGATTGGAAAGGGAGTGTTTGGATTTTTGCTTTGTTCATTTGTGGGCCATTTCATTCCGAGGGTTTTGGGATGATCCAAGATAAACCCACAAACGGTGTCGTTTTGGCTCAACTCCTCGCAGTTAAATCATTTTACCATTTTTTAATTTCTAAAACACGCAAATATATATTCAACAATTTCTGATGTTATATGGAGGCTGATTTTAATCCTTTATGAATCAGTTGGTTCATAAAATAAAGAAAATGACTTATTACGGATTTTAGATTTTAAGAACATGATCAATTATACTTACGAAAAATCGCAATCCGTTTTGAAAAGAAAAGGATAAAGCTGCAATATTTCTTTTTAACTTTCTTCCCAAACAAAATGGATAATCAAATGAAATGATCTCAAGATCAGAGCTGCAAATCACCAAACCAAAATCCCATCCTTGTACCAAATATTTAACCCAAAGCAAGCCGGCAATGCTCCAACAAAAGCGTAAAGACATTCCCTCATAAGAACTAGCTTAGTCAGCTGAATAACTGAACTACAAAACTTACGTTAATTCTATATTTCTAGGTTCGTTAACAGTTTCAGAGTACATCATATAGCAGTCAGAAAGAAAGCGATTTCGCTTGACAACCAAAAATTACAAAAAATGAGAACAGCAGAAAAAGGAGTACGTTTATATATATATATATATATATATATATATATTTTTTTTTTTTTTCTGTCTTCCAAACAAGGACTGTAAGGACTACGAGCGAAGCAAAAATGAAAGCAGAAGGTTTTCTGCTACACTAAGTAGGCTTCTTCTCCAGTCTTTGACTCTGCGAATGTAAGAAGTAAGAATGGATGCCGGCTAGGCTCCGTTAGTTTTGATGTAGACAACTGGTGAGCTTGTTGTTGATTTGGGTTCACTGCCATACGCAAAGCAATCAAAAACTTGGAAAATTATGTAATGTCTACAGTGAGGGCATTAACTTCATTTCAAGCTTCTCTCTTTGATCTGCACATACACTCTGGATATGGATTTTCATAGAAAGATTCTTCAGTCCTCAAACGTGCTCGGCCTTTTATTCCTGGCAATGGACCATATCTTTTTCTTGGAGCTCCTTGCCTGTGATTTTCATTAAAACGGAGTGAGTCCCTGCAGTTCCTCTAGATATTTTTGGGGGAGTATTTTTCATTGAATAAATAGATGGAGGAAGAATTATTTTTAACTTCTCATTCCACATTGGTGAGTGCAAAACATCTTACAGCTGCATAAGCAATTTGTATGCTTACAAATCAAGTAAAACAAAATGTAACTATTTCAATCCTGAACAGCACAAGTTGTGGTATAGAATGTGTTGAGATTATACAGCACAATCTGATAATACAGAAAGCACATGTGATGTAGGCCAAAAACTAAACATAAAAACAAAGAATATGAAATAAATAACAGAAACTTCAAACAGTTACCTGTTTTTGTGCATTTCCTGCACAAGGTTTGACAATGAGGACCCAACTTTAAGCTTTCCACTTTCTAGCTTATCGAACAACCCGACAAGTCCTTTCCTGCAATAAAATTATGCACACAAGGGACAGAAGAATGTCAATGAAAATTATTTGTTGATCGTTTTGTGTGTGTGTGTGCGCATGCGTGCATGCACATATATGTCAGTTTCTATGCCACCCTGATTGAATTAGTAGCACAACACCTGGACTGGGTCCATACCTGTCTGGGTTGATTGTCTTGCGGTGTCCTAAGAATCTTCTGTGGCCCTCAACAGCTCTGGCCATATTACCTGAATGAGAGGGAATGAAGACATCGCTCTCTATAGAAATAATATAATCAAGTGCGGCAGTTTGACTGCCATGTTTAGCAAATGGTTTTAACTCCTTTTCTGTAGCCAAATTGTCCTGATGTTAATCCAAAAACCACTTCAGTGTTACTGGCAGTTTTGAGGACATCATACTATGTCAATGAAATTAAGTAAAAAATTATCATCAAACCTTTAAAACTATATTTGGAAAGCGAGACATCAGTTCTGAAAGTCGAGCTTCTCCACCATAAATTTCCCCTGCTGCAATATAAACTGTTGTTGTTGGAGGATAGCCAAGAGCTTCAAGAAATATTCCCACCTCTTTTGGAGTCAGAGGGCAAAAGCCTCCCACCCTCTGTTCTGTTGAGTTTATCGTTTTAACCTTCCAATGGTTTGTATTCTCCCTGAGATAAATGACAAGATAAACATAAGCTATTGATTAACAAATGTATCTGACAACAAAAGAAACACATGTCATAGGCCTTTTGCATGCTCTAGTCACGTGTCAGCACATTAGAAACCCAAGAGCTGTATTCTCTAAATTTCAGACATTTTAACAATTGATTTTCTCTTCCAAGGTTTCAACAACAATCTTGATAAAGAAGTTCTCGTGGATATTCTATTACAGATAAAAAACGATATAACAAGAATGCAACCTCAAACAACACTAAAAATGTGAGAGAAAGATGAGAGCACCTCATCAATTCAGATTTGTTCCTTGGATGTAGGAAGTTGAGAACAATTAGAAAATGTTAATAAGAGAAGCAAAGGTTGCTTATCACCCTAACAATCAGACAAGAATATATATACACTATATGTCTATCTATGGCACGTGTATCACACAGACATGCATGCATGCACAAACACATACTCACCTCATTATTCGCAGCTCTTCAGATTCTGCCTCAGTCAGCCCATATGTACAGCCAGTAAAAGAAAGCATGTCCTTCTCATATCTCAGATGGAGAGCAATGTATCTTCCCCCATGTGATCTCAGACGCTCCACCAGCTTCTGTGGTGTCATCGTCATGCATTCTCAGAACCTAATTTAACAGGAATCCCCATAGGAGACCTCAATGCATCAATACTGAAAATGAATGTAAACTCAGGATCATGCACATTGTGTTTTAATCTTTTAAATTTTGAGGTTCTAAAATGTAAGGGTAATGCCTTTCAAAGTTAATTGTTGGAAACTTCAGCCGTTTCGGTTGGTATAATTCACCAGAATCCAGTTTAAACTTGGGCAGAAGTTACAGAGGTACTAGTAGAGAAGCATTCCAAACCTTTCCTAGGCTTTCAATTGGAGGAGAGAAGCGGAGAGCATGATATAGAGCACGGCACCTCAACCTTTGTATATCAAGAGGCAAATCATTGTTTGCAAGCCGGGAATCTGACTTTGCAACATGAATTACCTGCAGAGATTAAGATATTGCCATGATCAAATGTTTAATAACAAAGAAGGACCAGAACTGATGAACAGAGCTCATGCAAGAAGAGTGCTTATTCACATACCCAAAGGACAAAACCTAACATTTTCACGATAATAACATAAACCCATCAGCATATGCCCCCGGTCAGAAAATGCAATAACTATACCCTGGATTTTACCAAACTTCATATACAACTAGCATGGGATTACTCAACAACTTTCACACATGCAGACACAACAAAACCACACAAAATTAGCATGCTTGGAATGGCACTTTGTGATGGATCTAGAAAGTGGGGAAATAACAACAACTGCAACACAGGATATAACCGTACATTCTTCTACATCATTTTTGAACATCCAACACAAAACTTTAACCTATCAGATGGCAACACACACATTATATCAGCGCAGATCACAGTTACAACCAATATGAATCAATCAACACCTTCTCACAAAGTTTTCCTTTCCAAAGAAAAAGGGAAAAAGGAAAAAGAACACCAAAACAGAGATTTTGGAGAGAAGAAAAAAAAAAAGGTTGAAGCTGCTTGCACACAAGCAGTCAAGCCATTCCAACTTTGTTTAAGATGTAAAACAAATGAAATAAAGTGCACATAACATGTAAAGAGGTTTCATCTTGGTGTGTGCATAAAGAAGTTGGATTGTATTAAACCATCTAGTTTCAAGTTTTTAATTATTTTGATAAAGAAGCATGCACCCACTAATTTTCTAATTTCATGATACTTAAAATTTGAAATATACAGTTCTAAATAGGAAGATTATGTATGAAAAGCAATAATTCCATAGATGTGTCAATCATCACCAAGATTTGTAAGAAAAAGAACTCAAGACTACTGGAGGTTGAAAAAATTAGTCTCTTATACCTGATAGTCCTTCCATAATCGAGCCATCTCTTCATAGTAACCCATGCCAGACCAGGAGGTGAAGTGTTTCCTGGCCCGAGGAATTGACTCCAATTCCTTCGGTAGCACCTTAACGATTCTTACATCATCTTGTAAGGTCGTGATGAAATGAAGCTCGTCAAATATGTCAGAGAAAGTGCTGCACATTTGGCTCATGTAAAGTGGACAACATAATATGTGAAAGAAGAAAACTTAAAAAAAGAAACAGAGCATGTGAACTGAATCATTTCAAAAGAACATCATATATGACTGTAAAAGACACCTTGTGTCTTGCCAGAATGAGCGTTTATCCAGTTGAGGAATGACTAAGGTCGCATTCATGACGTGTGCCACAGCCACCATATCTGAGATCTGCAGGAAGACAAGGTTATTGAGTTTATAGAAGAAATTATGCAGCCAAAATTGTGCTGTAATACAACAGAAACGTGAAGCCCTGTCGACATATTCACCACTTAGCAGTAATTGCCAACACTATCCTATGGTTAGATTACATGTTTATCTTGCAATTGTCATCCAAGGCTTATATGAAGCAATGGACAGCTTACTCCATGCATCTTCCCATGCATTCATAAAGCTTTATACTTTAAAAAGTCATACTTATTCAAAACCTTTTAGGCATCTTGCTATCAAAGGAAAAGGTCTTTTTGGTCATTTGAATTTACAGACAGGATTTCACAACCAATAACATAAACAACAAAGATAATGGATGCAAAAGATAGAAAGCAAAATTCAGATATTATTAAACTTACACCAGTGCGCATTTGATTTAGTCCTCCATTGCTTCTCACAGTCATATAGTGGTCTGATCCTTGGGCAGCTGATGTTTTCGAGTTGAATTTAGAAAAGATTAGAGAGAGAAAGAAAGAGAAACTAAAGAAATATGAAACAAGAATACATATAAGGATAAGGCTGCAGGCTAGTGCATTCCTACAAAAAAACTACAAACAAAAATCTATTGCATAAAAAAGAAGGCCGGATCAAGGAAACGTTGAATTGTGCATTGAAACATGGGACATAAGGAAAGACACATACAAACAGCAAAAGAGAAGGCACAAGTATATGTTATTCTTTCAACCTTTATATCTAGCTGTTGGCTTGACACATGGGTGCAAACCATGGCTGAGAGGAGCACCCCACAGTTTTTCATCCAACACCTGCAAAATTAGCAGCCTTACTTTCTCTGAAAGATTAACAGTTATTTTGTAAAAAGAATACAAGACTACTAAAGCTTAAAGAAAATACAGAATGATACTTTCTATTGTATTTTAAAAATGCAAGGAGTAAAAGAATTTGGTGATGTGCTTCGAAAAGCAACTTTAATGAAACAATCTTCATTGCATAATAAGCAATCATAAAACAGATTCAATACATTTGATATTGACATGAATGTAGGTCAATCACAAGGTAGTCCTCCCTCATTAATGCCTTTCAACAGTCTTCCCAGACAGAACCATGTCTTCAAAAATTTGCAATTACAAGGATAATGACCTCTGATTCTAATTTGAAATTCGATGGATTGTGGATTTGTAAAAAATACAGACACTCTTGCTATCAATATATGCTCCACTCCAACTTGGGTTCATTCTGTTCATGACAACTATGTTCATCAATTATTTGTTCAAATTACATCTAGGTTCCAGCCATCCTTTGAAGATAAAGGGAATTCAAGTGACATTTTTGACAGAAACATGAACGACTTCCTCCAAGGTTAACCCAAAAAGGTTCAGGCTCAAGCTGATTAGTTCTAGTTGGATCATTCTACTACCAGAAGTAGAGTTGAGACCCTCAACCCTGAGCACAAACCTCTCCCCACATGCTCCTCCTCACACCCAAAAGAAAGAGAGAGAGAGAGAGAGAAAAACTCAAAGGCAGTCATCATCACCACAACCGTGACCCCTTTCACATTGTCACGGACATTGACCGTTCGATACCTCCTAAAGCTAAAAAATTTCTCCCCAGTTTGAGAGAAGATAGAAACTCTACATAGATGATAATAATACAATTTCCTATTTTCTTATGTGATCGTTGTCGGTTCCACTAAATTAGTAAAACTGCCAAACATAATGGATGGTTTATACGGTAAGACGCCAACAAACTTCCCCACAATCCAATCAGCAGTATCCCAAGTATGTTTTCTCCCGAAAAACCACAAGAAAATTGAAGCGCAAAACCACAGTTTCCTGGACCAATTCCAACCACTCAACAATAAACATGAAAGAAGCACCTAATATTCAAAGACCAAAAGCTAAACTACTCAAGTTAAACCCAACCAACCCCCCCCCCCCCCCCAAAAAAAAAAAAAAAAAAAAAAAGAAAGAAAGAAAGAAACAGAAACGATGGCTCATGTCCCTTTGAATCACTAATTCTCAAACATTAATCACACAATAAACACCTTAAAGAATTGCCCTATGCTCCAATTGACAAGAACTTCAATCTTCCTAATATCATTAAATCACCATAATCTCATAATAAGAATTCAACAAGAAAATAACTAGCACGAAAAAAAAACCAATGCTCCAAATAACAAAAGGAACCAGTAAGATTTTTTTTTCTAAAAATCAAATTCATCTCTACCCACTAACAAATGCAGCATAAAAAGCAAAACCCATTTCTCTAAATTAAGAAAATTAAACCATAAGAATACCTCCTGCTGCTGCATGTGCACAGATTGATATTGTGATTCTTCAAGTTTTGTGTCCTCTTCCAAGATGTCATCATCCTTAGGGGTAAAACCAAAGAGTAGAAGGAAAATTGAAAAGGAAAAAACAAAGATTGTGAAAAGAGATATTGTAAAAAGAGATTGTCTTCTTGAGAGAAATCTAGCTATGCTTCGGAAATGGGAACTTCCTCTGTAGTTTGCCATTTTCTTTCACGATTGCTGGGAGCACGTAGCAGTAGATCTCTATCGCTTCACTTTCCGGTTAACGTTACTACCATGATAGTGTCTCGTATGGATGCAAAACAGATATGGGCTTCTTTTTCATTTTGTGTCTTATGTCAGATGGGCAAATATTTCAGGCCCAATATTTTCTTTATTATTATTATTTTTAATCAACCATATATATATATATAAGTTTATTGACATAATATTCAAGAAATCTTAATCTTCACATAAAAAAAAACTAATATGAAGCTCTTCGTATAGATTATATAATGAAAATTTACTTCTTCAATTTGGTGATAAGCTGTTTCATAAAGTGCAAACCATTTTGTTGCATTTTAATTTTTTTTTTTTAAGTTGTTTATCAAATTTTCGTAATGTTGGAAGCAGCCCAAATGCACAACCAGCCTGAAAACACAGGCCCATAAAACTTGGCCCAGATCACTAGAAGTTGATCGGTAAACAATTCTGTATACTGAATCTCACAATTAAACTGCCTAACATGTCAAACTCCATTGCCCTTCTTATATATGTATGCACACATACAAAAAAGCTATCTAGTGCTATTCATCGTAAAAAATAAGGGTTTAGCGACAAAAAAATTCCTTAGTTTTTTGGCCTTACAAAAATTAAGGACAAAAATTTTATCGTTATATTGAAATATTTTCATTACTAATTTGATGCAAAAAGTAATTTTATAATTATGAAATTTGTCACAAAACCGTGGATAAGTTATTTGATTTTCATCATTAATCAAGAATTTTTTTTCAATGATTTTATTCTCATCAGGTTATTACTCTAGTTATGGAAAAGCTGCTCGGATCCAGGTAACGCTACTGAGTAAGAGGAGGCTTCTTTTCCTTATTTCCTAGGACTAGTTGATTCGAGATTGGGATTTAGTTTTAGAAAATGACTTTTGATTTAGTTTTAGAAACTGAGGCTTCAGAGTCTAGTTATAGACCAAACTTATTCATTTAATGAGCTACTAAAACTCCAGTTATGATCACTGCTGCCTAAAGCCCAAAATCACATAAGAGAAGTGCAAAAAATCTGTGCGTAGAATGAGAAGTCTTTAGACCAAAAACAATTGAAATAAAAATTGATGGCCTAATATTCTTAAATTTTCTCTTGAATTTTATACCCACAAGAACTATAACCCACACTAATATTAACCCATCTAATTCAATCCCTCTCTCTCTCTCTTTTTTCCATCGTATATATGGGTAAGTGTATTATTCAAAATTAGTACCTACTGCTATTTCAACTAAGTTTTTATTCCTGTTAGGAGTCGGACAAACATACAAACAAGTGGTCCATTTCCATATCATTAATTTGTTAATCTCCTTTTTTTTTTTTTTTTTTTAAAGCATTTTTCTGTTTGTTTGGCTGCTACTTTCCTAATTGGCATCCTTTTTCTCTTTGTTTCCTCCCTAAATGCTAGCCTATTGGTCACATATTGCTCTATCTTTTTAAATCTGGCTTATCAAAAACAATGCTAATGGCATTAATTATATTAGTTATTGGACTTTGGACCAGCTATTACTTATACTAAATGCAACTAATCTCCATGACCACCCGTTGTGTTGGGTAACAAGTCATGGTCACGATCATTAGACTTCCATTAGCTAGCTACTAAGAATTCAAATGAAATATCCAGAGTTTGCCTCCTCTTTTGATACTATAGCTATCCCTTTCTTCCGTTTAAATAATTATGCGGTTTGTCATATAAATGATAGAAAAAGAAGCCAAACCTAGCACGTATGACTTGTTTTTTTTTTTTTTTTTTTTTTTTTTTTTTTTTTAAAACAACCTACCCTCTCATCATTCATGTTAAGACTTGCACAGTTAGCTAGAATTGAATGATGAATTACATTTAAAATTCAACGCCCTTGGTATTTATTAGACAAGTAATTAGCTCTTAGCTACTCCATTAGTTCTTAGCTTAACAAAAACTGTTGCATATCTTAGACAAGTTCGGATAACATCACATTCAAATTAGGGTTTTACATACTTAAATTAATAGAGGAGTTTTTGATGACTAAGATTTCATCCATACTTTACTTACATTATGGTTCACTCGTTTATAGTAATACAAATTCCGTACCTATAGAACTCTATATGATAAAATATAAACAACTTCTATCTAGCTTTAGCTTTATCTAATCATAACAAATTGTTGTTGAGAGAAGTTGTAGAGCCGTCTATGTCTTGTGTTGCGAAGTTGGTGCTCGATGCGTATCGAAAGCACCAAATTAATTTACTTTTCTTACCGATTTTTGTAGCAATGGCAAGTCCAAATTGAACCTTAGAGACTAGATAATCAATCTAGTTTATGTAAATAAAAAGAGAGTTTTTGTGCCAAACCGGAATAATAAGAAAAAATATATAAAATAAGAAAAATTTCAATTTAGGAAAAACTTCACTTTAAGGAGAAATTCAAATATTCAATTTGCAGATTGATCATCGACGCCTAAATTACCGATCTTTCATTGAACACTTAGCCTATATTTATCTAGACACTAGAATAAACCCTAATCTTTCCTAAATTCATTAACACAAAACTTCACGTCCGAATTAAATTCTTATTATCAATTGATTTCGGTGTTGAAGCGATTCTAGCCTAATCAATAATAGCGTTAAGAATTAGAAAGATCGTTAAGACTAAACAATAATTTTAGGACGCCTAAATCATTTAATTTTACTTGCCTTAGGTAATGAAAACTAAATTGCTACTTGTACTAACTTTTCTTAACAATCATGAATTAAAAGAGTTAACTAGCTATCATTCACGATAGACAATCAACTAATTGGTCACCTTAGACAATTACCTATGCAATCATGATTAATTAATTATGCTCAAAGAAACAAAACATACTCAAATCATAAATAATAGATTAAAGATCAAACCCGTGTCTTACAATCTTTTGTACATTGAAGTTGAAATCTCTTAAACTCGAATTAAGGAAAATTAGCCAAACATTGTTTGATGCATAAAGCTTGAAATATATAAGAAAATTGAAGGATCATGTATCCTATGGAGGTGTGGAATCAAACAAAAATTTCCTCTATTTAAATAACCCAAGATCTTACCGTTGAATTAACTAACCATATATTTATGAATTAAAGCTTTAGATAAAGAATCACCTATTGTAGTGCAAATTTAAACCTTTACGTAAAAGAGTCATCTAAGTGTTCGGCCTCTATCGATAATCCACATAGTTTAAGCACCCATAAACAAAGCATTCAAAATTAGTAGAGTGCTAGCTCCATCTTTTTTTACTAGTTCAGGTGTTTCCTATAGAAATCTAATCGTGGTCATTTTGTGATAACCCAAAGAGAGAGAAAGGAGGTGGTATGTGTTAGGGTTTTAGAAGAAAACTATTTTTTTCTTTTTCTCACTTAACATTGTGTGCTCTCCATATTTTTCTTCGTGTTGAATTTTCTCTCTCTCAAAATTAACTTGAGTTTGTCACGACTTTCTCCCATATATATAGGGAGAGGCTTCCTTGTCCTTAGAGGACAAGGATGGGCAGCAATAAGTCCTTAAAGGACTCTAGGTTGTTGCTTCCCGATCATTCAATGATTAAGAGTTATTTTGCATGTGGACTTTTTGATCTAATCTTTAAAACATTCATCATTATCCAGATGAGGTTCATATTTATCCTCCCATCAAAATATCTTTTAGGCTTTTAATTATACCTATTAGCCCAAAACTATTTTAGCCCAATTAATTAATTTGCACTATCCAAATAGATTAAGTTAGATCATTTTAGGAGGCTCATATTAGGAAATAATTTTTCAAATTACCCTTAAACCTAAATTAGAAAATTAATTTTCATTTTAAGTTGTTCATTCCAAATTTGAAACTAACTTTCAAGTTAGAAAACTAATTTCTAAAATAAGAAACTTTCCATTTTAGGAAACTTTTCATTTTCAAATTTTTTTTTCAAAATAGGAAACTTTCATAATTGATTTTTTTTTTCAATATCTTTACTTCTCTTTAATCTTGTGAATTCTGAAATTTATACGTGTGACTCAATAGGCTCTTAGATATATTGGTAATGTATTAAGAATAAAAGACATCTCTTTTATCGTTTGATATATAAGTCAAGATTGGCCTCTAGCAAGGCATCATGACTACCTAATTTTATAGGAGGATTAATTAATCCATAATTACCTTTCATAAGCATGATTACCATACAATTTAGTCCTCATGTTAACTTTTCATAGTGTGATCTCAAACTTAGTTATTAGTCTTATTTGATCACGATCACATAATTTTTTTTTAATTTCCAAATGTTTTAGCTCTTAGAGTAAACCAACTATGCTTTATTAGTATACTCTTACCGTGGTCATAGATTTCTTGAGTAGACATTTATCAAAGTATAATATGATAACTCTTTTAGCATACAAGGAATGACATGTCCTATCTTAGTCATTCACCTACCTCCATTAGATTTTCAAGTGTACCCAATAAATCATCCAAGTGTAACCCTTTACGAGGTCCATCGAAACGAATGTCAAAATATATAAATCCTCTAATGAGATAACCATGATGACTTTAAATCTAAATACCAGTTGTACCCATCTCGTAAGAGATTCTTATAGACTATACCAAATGAGTTCTCATGGTTAGTCAAGTCTAGTCATATGTTCTCTAACATTAATCACCTAAGTGCTTACTTTGGCATTACCATGTCGATAGGTATGAGATCTCCTATCACTATCTTATAGTTAATGTCCATTCTTGATCATGCTACAACTTGAGACATTTAATGATATTATTTATGTGCATTAGTATTTGTCTCATATCTTTCGATTAATCACTAATGTAAATACATATCATATGAACTTCTATCTAATTCTATTCAATGAATAAATGTAAAAGATAAAAATTAATAGAAAAACTTCTTTTATTATAAATAATATAAATAATGAAATAATATAATAAGTCAAATTGATCCAAATAAAGTTAGATCTTA